ATCTGTTTCAGGTAAAGTCAGGTCTCCTTAGTGGGGTTTCCAAACCATATAATTCTGATGTAGTCAATGAAAATGCTTTCTACCTCAAAACGACAAAATTTAAAACCCTATAGCGTGCAAACAGGGTCACCAAAAGCTGAAAAAGGAACGGGGTCAAAAATACATGATTAGCAACTTAATCGCTGCCATCAAGTCTATCCCAACTCATATCGATCCTATAGGGCAGCATCGAACTGCTCCTTGGGTTTCTGAGACTAAAACTCATGAGAGTGCAAAGTCCCATCTTTCTCCTTCAGAGCAGAGTGGCTGGTGGTTTCAAACTGAAGACCTTAAGAACCGAAGCCTAAGGTCTAACCAATAAGACACCAGGACAGCTTAATACTGGTTGGATTTTCCAATTGGGAGTCTATAATGTTCAGCACTTTCCCCAGAGATAGGCTCACTCTCCTTGATTTACCCAGAACAGGCATGAAATCACCTTCTCATAGACAGACATAATGCCTCTCCTCTGGTCATGAATTCCCACTGAAACTCGCTGATGACTATTATAATAGTATTTATTAATTTGGGGTGACTGTGGGACAATGGTATATAACAGGAACTATTTGTTCCTGACCCATTCCCTGCTAAATAAAAAACTGACCCCAGCTGAGGTGATGCCTCCTTTGAAAAGTGTGTTTTAAGATGTACAACTAAGGGAGTGATCAATGGATAATAAGCATTAGACAGACACCCCACCACATTGTTTGGGAGCCCTGCTTAAATGATTACCTGCCCTGATTAAATGGTTACAGGACCTGAGAACAGATGTCTTTTTTTGTCTTGGTGTTTGTACTCATAGTAATTGTCTCACATAATATTTGTCCTTTTGTGATTGACTAATTTTGCTCAGCATAATTTTCCATCCATGTCAAGAGGTACCTAATTTCATCAATGCTTTTTAATGCTGCCTAGTGTCCCACTGTGTGTATTTATCAAGGTTTCCTTAGCCAGTCCTCTACTGATAAGCCTCGGGACTGTTTCCAATATTTTGTTGTTGTGAACAGCACTGCTGTAAAACTGAGAGCATGTGTCTGTGTCATGTGTCTTACTTCTTTAGGGTTTGTACGCAGCAGAGGTATTGCTGGATTGTATGCAATTTCCATTCCCTGTTGTTTCAAGTCACGCCATATCACTTTCCAAAATAGCTGTGCTGTTTACAGGCCTACCAGCAGTGTATGAGTGGTCCAATTTCTCTGCACCCTCTCCAGCATTTGTTGTTTTCTGTTTTGTTTTGTTTTTAATTGGGCTGTCATTGTCAGGTTTTTTAAATCATTTTATTGGGGGCTCGTATAACTCTTATCACAATCCATCCATCCATCCATTGTGTCAAGCACAGTTTACATTTGTTGCCATCATCATTATCAAAACATTTGCTTTCTACTTGAGCCCTTTGTATCAGCTCCTCACTTTTTCCTCTCCTTCCCCCTCCTCCTTCCATCATGAACCCTTGATAATGTATAAATTATTATTGTTTTGTCATACCTTACACTGTCTGCTGTCTCCCTTCACCCACTTCTCTGCTGTCCATTCCCCAGGGAGGAGGTTATATGTAGATTCTTGTAATTGGTTCCCCCTTTCTACCCCACCTTCGCTCTACCCTCCTGGTATCACCACTCTTACCACTGGTGCCAAGGGGCTCATCTGTTCTGGATTCCCTGTGTTTCCAGTTCCTCTCTGTGTACATCCTCTGGTCTAGCCGGATTTATAAGGTAAAATGTTTAAGGTAATATCTCACCATTGTTTTTATTTCCGTCTGCTGGGTGGCTAGTGAGGATGTGCTTTTTTTTTTTTCATGTGCTTCTTAGCCATTAGAATGTTGTTTTTGGTGAACTGTTCATTTCTTTAGCTGACTTTTTAATTGTATTCTTTGTTTTTGTTTTTTCTTATTGAGTTCTTACAGTAGTCTATAGATTTTAGAAATTA